AGACGCAGAGCAAAGCCGCAGAGCACGCGGGCAGCGGGACAGTCCAGGCGCGCCGCGGCTGTCCCACTGCTGGCGTGCTCCGAGGCTTTGCTCCCCATCTCTCTGGTCTGCTGGTCAGACCAGGGAGACGGGGAGAAAAGCCTTGGAGCACGCCCGCAAAGACCCACTGATGCATGACGAAGTGGGTCTTTGCCCAGGAAAGCTTATGGTCCAACACATCTGTTAGTCTATAAAGTGCCAAAGGACTCCTTGTCACTTCTGCAGATCCAGACTAACACGGCTACCTCTCTGATACTTGTATTATTTAATGCACTGAGAAGAAGTTCGGGTTAAAAGTCACTTTACAGTCCCATTTGAGTCCCTTACTTTAAATTGCTTACAACATTCACAAAACGTGCATTATGTACAAAAGCTTGAAGAGCGCATGCACTCTACATGTCCAGCACAACCCTACAGCAGCTTGTGGGGAAAGGCTCAGAAACCGCAGGCTCCAGCTTTTACCATATCTAATGTCTAGTCACACACAACCTATTTTACATTTCTAATCACCATATCAGGAGGAGTCTCTACTATGGCAAAAACCTTACCAGCCACAAATTCGGTCCCTGCAAGCTCTGCGGTGGCCAGGAATTCCTCCAGGGAGCTTTGCTCTGTAACGGACCGGAGGCTGAGGCGGCCCCAGTCGTACCCATCCTGTAACTCGCTTGTGTGTAACTGCAGGCAAAGCAGCAGTGTTGTCAGGCTGCCCCCTGCCGCTGGAAACACCAGTCACAGGCCAGCCCCAGGGGGTGGGGGCCCAGGCCTGGCAGGAGGGGACCTGCGCTGGGAACCCCCAGGAGAGCCCCGACTTCCCCAACGGACCGGAGGCTGAGGCGGCCCCAGTCGTACCCATCCTGTAACTCGCTTGTGTGTAACTGCAGGCAAAGCAGCAGTGTTGTCAGGCTGCCCCCTGCCGCTGGAAACACCAGTCACAGGCCAGCCCCAGGGGGTGGGGGCCCAGGCCTGGCAGGAGGGGACCTGCGCTGGGAACCCCCAGGAGAGCCCCGACTTCCCCAGGGTACCCCAGAGCCTTCGGCTGGGCACTGGGGGGGGGGGG